GTTTTGGGTCTGGCCTTCGAGCGGATCCTGTCAGGTCAAATTGAAAAACAATTTTGTATTATAAAAAACGGAAACTACTATATACTACTATCTAGGTTAATAAAATGGCTGATACCGTTTAGATAAAATACAATAGTATATAACAAAAAAATGCGTCTACAGCTGTATATGCTACTGTTTCAAGACCAAAACGAGGGTGTTAGAATAAGAACGATGGCATTTGTAAATTTTCACCTGTGCTGTCTTTTTTGTTGCATGAGTTTCACATGTATTTTGATTGGTCATGTCTTTTACATAATGCACGAAAGTAGTTGTAACTATTTGTTAGTAGAAGTGACGTGATGATATTACTCTTTTTAGAATAGATTATTTATGCGCAGACTTTGGTGGCTAATCAACATCGCTGTTTGTGCCGAAGTTTTTAGTTGTATTAATATAGGTCTAAAAGCCATCGAAATTTAGTTTAGATTACAAGGTTATTTTGTTAAAAATGATATTATGCGATGCCTTTTTGGTGTTTTTTAGTTGAGAAACAGTTTTCTAAACGAGTAAAATCTTATTTATTCCTCGTATTATGATTGTAATCAACTGGAATTAGAAGTGTTGTGGATGTATGAAATGCTGTTATTTGTAGCTTGATGTCGTTCCAAACTTAGTGTGGTGTTGCTAAACTTATCTAGGCTGATCCATCGGTTGATAGCTCTTCTATACGGGGTAATAAAATACACTATTCCAAAGTAGTCAATTACACCGTGAACCGACATTAATGTTATAGAGACGGAAGCTATTTCTTCGCCGTACTTGTACTGGGTTCCAAATGCGATTGCTGCACATAAAGTAGGCATTATGGCTGTAGCGTAATAGTTCACAATTTGGAATGTTACGGCATTTAGAAGAATTAACTGCATTCGGTGCGTACGCCTGGTTAATAATGCTGTATTTTTTTGTAAATTTTTGTAAAGCATAATATATAATGCGGCTGCTATACCAATGAATGTCAAACATGTAGAGGCAAGTACAAGACTATCTATCCTAATCCAGATATTGTAGCGAAAGCACATGTAATTGGTACTGTTTACCATATTCTTGTAATTAGGGGTGCGCAGTACAAATTCACTTTGAAGTTCGGTTTCGTCCGTAACGACAAGTTTAGCGTAACAAGTTGTTATTGATAGGGTGAGAAAAATGTGAAACGCTATAATAAAAATTGCAATTTGACGTCTGGATGAGTCGATTAACATTTTGTGAATTCTTCCGTTCGTTGCCTGAAAACGATTGAATTAAAGTTTGTAGTTGTGTTAACAGTTGAAAAGATAGCACTAAACGGTATCAATTAATCTATTATCATACAGTGGAACTCCTGTATAACGAACTCCTCTATAACGAAACTCCCGTATAACGAACAACTTTTGAATCCCCGTCTATCACTACACAGTGCATTTAAAACTCCTGTATAACGAAACTCCTTTATAACGAACAAATTTCAAGTCCCCGAGCGATTCGTTATACAGGAGTTCCACTGTATTACAAAAAAAGGCAATTGTAACGCTAAATTTGAGGTTTTGAAGTGACATACCTGAGCACAACGATGAAGCAGTGCCCACAACATGCTGAGCATTAGGTTAACAGACAGAAAAATAAAGCCAAATACTGCCACATTAGGGAAGAAATTATAGATTTTTATCACTGGATCAAACGTAATGCACGGCGATGGGAAGTTAAAGTGAGGTTTGTTGAAAAACAGAAGAAACGAATAAGAAAAGCACCAAAAAACGCTGTTGATCAAGAAATACTTGTAGGTCTTGATCTGCTTTGAGTTCGTAAGAATAATGTAAATTAATAACGGAGCTAATACCACTTCGATTACCATGACATAGTCGGTGATTTTGTTGCAGAAGTAAAGCAAATTACGGTTGATTTTGCGGTCTTGGATTCCAGACATTTTGTGTGTTGCTAAAAAATAACTTTAGTTTTATGCTAAATGGAAATTAAAATTGAAAAATACTCTTCGTCAAACAAGAAAATTAAATTGGCACTGAAACACGAAGGATCTAACGAATTGTAAGTAAAAACGATTAACAACAATTTGAAGATCTTCAAAACAATGAACTAAATACAATAAACAAATTCATCAAGAACGACAAAAATTATTGTTCATGACGAGCAGCAAATTGAAGTATAGTACTAGGAAATACAAAGAAAAGGACTCTAAGGAATGCCCAACGACAAAAACCTAAATAACAAAATAATCAAAGAAATATGTAAATTAGTTTATGAAGACGTTTCAAACCTTTTTTTTCAATGAAAGTGCCACTAAGCACCGATTGAACAAAACTGATATTAAAATGCCGTTTTATTATAATATGAATAACTCGTTTATAGAATTTGGTATGGTTTCGTAGAAAAATAGAATGGTCGATGAAAGATTATTTTAAAAATTGAACCGACTTTTTTGAAATTATCGAAAGTGGTGAATGTAAAATAAAATGTATTAAGAAACTCTTTTTTAAAATAAAATACTAATGTTTATTACTCTTATTGTTAATGTAATGAAGTTGAATTGGGCATCATATTCTGAGAGTTTGATATACTATTCTTTGTACTTTGATGACGTTCTAAGCTTTGTGTGTAATTGTTAATGTTTTCCCAACCGACCAATCGTCCTATAGCTCTTTTATACAACGTAATAAAGTAGACTATTCCAAAATAGTCGATCACACCATGAACGGCGACTAATGTTCTAGCTACGGTAGCCATTTCTTCACCGTACTTGTATTGGGTTCCAAATGCGATAGCTGTACATAAAGTAGGAATCGCAGCCGTAGCGTAATAGTTGAAGATTTGGAATGTTGCCGCATTATAAAGAATTAACTGCATTCGATGTGTACGGTCGGATAGAAGTGCTGTGTTTTGGTGTAAGTGTTTATGAAGCATAATGTATAGTACGCCTGACGTTCCGATGAATGTCAAACACGTAGAGGAAAGTACAAAACAGTCTATTCTAATCCAAATATTGTAGCGAAAACACATGTAATTTGTGCTGTTTACCATATACTTGTAATTAGGTGTACGAAGTACAAATTCACGTTGAAGTTCGGTCTTGTCTATAATGACAAGACCAGCGTAACATATTATCATTGACAGGGTTAGAAAGACATGGAATGCCACTATAAAAATTACAATTTGGCGTCTTGATGAGTTGGCTAATATTCTGTGGATTTTTCCGTTTGTTGCCTGTAATATGCAATTGTATTTTAATAAATTACGGATAAAGTCAAAAGCTCAAACAAAAGCAATTAAGTATACTTACCTGAGCACAACGATGAAATAACGCCCACAACAAGCTAAGCATCATATTAGTTGTCACGAAAATAAAAACAAATACTGCCAAATTAGGATAAAAGTTTTGCATTTTTATCACTGGATCAAAAGTGATGCACGGCGATGGGAAATGAAACTGATGTTTGTCGAAGAACAGTAGAAACGCGAAAGAAAAGCACCAGAAAACACTGTTTATTAGAAAGTACTTGTAGGTCTTGATCTGTTTTGAGTTGGTAACGATAATGTAAATTAGTAACGGAGCTGACACAGTCTCTATTACCATGACACATTCTGTTATTTTGTTACAAAAGTAAAGTAGGTTCTGGTTGATTTTGTGGTCCTGAATTCCTGACATTTTATGTTGAAGTCTTGCTAAAAAATTGAGTTAGATTATAAACAGCAAGAAAATTGTATAATAAACGACAAGAAAATGGTATAATAAAATATTATTTTGTATTGTTTATAGTACAGTATGAAGAAATTAAAACAACACTTAAAAACAAAAGAATTAAATATTAAAAAATAACAATTTTTTAGACTTCAAAACCTTGCTGATTACAATAAATAAATATATCAAGATTATTACTGGAAAAACGCCTTTATAATAATTATTAATAGAATGACATTAATGGAAAACACGGAAGGACAAAACGTAATGGTTTTGGCGAGCAGCAAACTCAAGTCTAGTATTAGGAAGTACAAAAAGTGCTAATAGGAGTATGCAACGACAAAAATGTAATCCTGTATAACTAACTTTTCTATAACCAAAACTTTGAAATCCTTGTCTAGCACTACACAGTGCATTGAGAACTTGTTTATACCGAAACCCCTATACAATGAACAAACTTTAAAATTCTGACCGATTCTTTACACAGGACATGAGTTCCACTGTATATAACAATCGGCAAAAATTTTTGTTTGTTTTTAAAAATAGCAAGAGCAGTGTGTTAATAATTATTTTATTACATTTTGGATACGGTGCGTAGTATGAAAATACAAAATTAAAAGCTTTTTACAAGGTTAATACAATGTTGAAAGTAAGATTTTGTTATTATTTACAAATTTGTACTATTATTAGTCAACTTAATTGTAAAACGTCATTTTGAACTTTCATAAAGGGTAAGCCTATTTTTTTAAATTTAAGTTTCAAAGGATACGTCTATAAAGATAAAACAGCTAAGCCTTAAAGCCTTCTTTAGTTTCTGTTTGCTATACTTTTATCTTCTTTCGCCTAGTAATATCTTTTGATGTCTATTAAGCATGAGTTCTATATAATGAGGTGGAAATTTATCAAGTTTTTCTTCGGTTGTTTTAAAAAATAGTAGAGTTCACATTGAAAATATTTATTAATATTGGTTCGTTATATAATTGATAGAGGATTGTTAAAATATTAAAGACATTGAAATGTTATGGATGCACAAAATTGCATTTTATACCATATTGGCAACGACCGAATTGAGCGATGTTTCGGCATAGTTGGGTTTTTTGCCTTGGGTCTTTCTGAAAAAAAAAACGAATTGTACATAGAGTAATTATTTGAGTAAAACTATGTGCTTTTCTTCAGCTTTCGTATTGAAACCTTTGTTTTTTATATCTATTATAGTTTGTATTGTGAAGTATAGTAAAGCAGCTACATGGTTTGTCAAAATGTCTGTTATTTTACTAAATTTGCTATATATTTACAATTTTCTGTTTTTGCTTTTCATACTCCAACTTACATTTTCTACTGCATCCCTTATTTCTTCTTCATTATGGGCAAAGCAACAAGTGCCTTCATGAAGGCACTTCTCTCCTTTTTGCACCTTGTTGCACATTGTCGTTTTATAATTTCTGAAGTATCGTTCCATCTTGATTGCTTTTTTATTGATCTTCTCGTTCAAATCTTGGGCGTCGCTTTCTACTGGCATCACGGCATACATGGGCCATATCGCTGCTTTGGGCATAGTGTTGAAGGTTGTACCATTTAATAATGGTATTTCCATTTTTCGCGTTGTCGACTTCATCGTCTTATGGTGACGATCGAAGAAGAGATGGTTTTTTTGTTCACGATACGTGAACTTCTCAGCTGATCCGGATACTTTGGCCGGTGTTTCACCATCGTCCAACAACCTATCCATCAGATCAACTACATGGTCCATGGCTTCATCATCAAGTTCTATTTTTTTTTCGTTTCTTCTTTTAGCCGGTGCTGCGCGGAGCTTGGGTTGAGAAATCAATTTTTTCGGCTTCGAAAAGTTTTTGAACTCGTTGTCCGGGCTGGGCGTCGGGGTCCACAGAACTGAGGGTGGGGCAATTTGGGGCTGTTCACATTGAAGAACTTCATTTTGGGTTACTTGTAGACTCCATTGAGTCGTGTAACAGTCGGGCACAGCAGCTTGACCCCAATGTGCTTGGCTGGGATGCATAAGTTGCGGAGCAACAAGGGGCGGCATTCCATAAGCTGGTTGCTGCATCGTAGCCAGCATATGGGCGTTTATGGCTTGTTGGTAAGCCAAGAAGTTAGCCAGCTGTTGTTGGGCAGCAAAGCTGGCTTGAAGGTAGGTTGGGGCCGATGGGCATGGCATGGCGACGGTGGCGAACATTTGCTGTTGTTGTTGTTCGACGGTGAACATTTTTAGTTGTTTGTATTTTTTAAAATACGAAGGTAAGCTGATATTCTAAAATTGAAAAAGTAGTATGTTTTGAGGGCAACTTGTGTAAATTTGGATGTTAAAGGTATTTTTTCGATAATAACGTCAAATCGCGGCGATAGATTCAATATACGTAAGAAATGGCCTGATATACGCGGATAATTTATATTATACAGTTATGCCTGCCTTTCTGGTCGAAGAAAACAACAAGAAGGGCTTATTTAGTTAGGAATTAAGGTCTAGTTACACTGTACTCGAATTTATTATATTTGATTTTACACGAAATTGATGAACCGATTGTGATGAGATTTGACCAAGTACAACGTACTTGTTCTTATTTTTACCATAAAAACCTGAAGCCTATTGAAAATAAAAACCACTAAAAAACCTTTATTTTATACGTAAAAAATCAAAAATAAAAATATGCCCGAAACAAAAAATTCTAAACAGAGTAAAATATGAAGTCGTACTGCTCAACGAGGTTCATGTTTGTGGTTTGAAGTCAGATCGAAGTCGTCTATTTATAGAAATTATGATCAGTAGACAAAAAAATTATAGGCATCAATAATCAGTAGATAAACTTGATTTAAAATTTTAGACACGTTGATCGGTAGAAAAACTTGATTAAAAATCTTGCTTTCGGGTTTTACAATGCCTCGTCTATGATGCTACACAGTACGATGCCGCAATTACCGCGGGCTTATTAGTTTGTCTACTGATTCTTTACATTTCTTTTGAAAAATGAGCTTTAATTGTGGTTGTCAAAGAAGTAAATTTATTAACACATTGCACATATAGCTTTATTAACATTGTAAATCGAATCTTCATTTATTCTTTGTGGCAAAACTCAAGGTCATGTTTATATTCAAGGTAAAATAAGTCTTTGTTCAAACAGATTGTACACTTTTTGTGTTTTTATTGGGAATCACTTTCTTCGAATTGGTTGTTTTAAGCTTCAGCATTCTTTTCAAAGCGTACCTATACGGCTTGATGAAGTAAAATATGCTAAAATGATCTAGTAAAACGTTGAAACACACTAAGTGCTTGGCCGTGTTTCCAATTTCTTCTCCGTATCGTGCGTGGGTCACGGCGACAATACCGGATAAAGCTAATGGTGTCAATGAAAATATGCATAACGTGGCCGATTGAAAAGCTACGGCCTTGAATAACATGAGTTGAAGTCGGTGAGTATGCACTGAAAAGTGTGATTGGCGTGAGGTGTGGTATTTGTGAAGTTCGTAGAACAATTTTGTTAAAATCATGGCAAACATGGCCAGCGCAAGAGTGAAAAACTTTAGGGGGTAGGTCAAGTATAAGGAGAATTCAAAGCAGGTATAGGTTGATATGTCGGATGGTGAAAGCAGAGGTAGTTGGGTTACGTAAGTGTTATACAAAAGAGTTGGGTCTCTGATTGTATCAAAATATGGCACGCCGGCACACATACAAGTAGCTGCGATTGAATAAACAATAATTGAGTTTCGAAGGGAGAATCGTTCCTGATAGTACCGGAATACGTAGACTTTAGCCTGAAATTATAGAGTTTAAATTAAGGATGGTCGAAATGTAGGTTCTAAATAGGCACAGTCAATATCAAAAGAATGACTTTTTTATGATGTAGTGGTTTCTATATAGTCTAACTTTGAAAGGCGGTTTACTAGGTCAGCCTCGGTACAGTTTGGACCGAAGCAAGTTTGAAAGAGGACGGCATACGCAGTCTCTACCCGGTCCCTTTACTGGTTTAATAAAGACCACCTTTTACATAGAAATAGAGCGGCCTCGATTATCAAAGAACCGACTGCGCTTCAAAACTTTACCTTGACACATCGATGCAAAACACACCATAATGTGCTCATACAAAAGTTGCTACCAATGACAATTCCAATGAATATCATAGGACTACCAGATAGATTTAAATTGACAATATATTCGGCCGTAATGCATGTGCTGGGAAAATGAAACCTTACTTGGCTTATGCCCACACAAATGGTATACATGGAGCCCCAAAAGACATTGTTTAGTAAACAATATTTGTAGTTGTTTATAATACCAGAGTTTTTAACTATAATGTAAATTAGTACTGGTGCTACAGTAATTTCGATGATTAGAAATATTCTCATAAAAATATAGTCAGCTTTTAGTAATATAGGGTTAATTTCACGGTTTTGTACAAACGACATGAAATTTTGAGGTAAATGTTATTGCTCTATAACATTTACTATTGAAAAAAATAAAGAAAGTACTGTATTTTAAAATAGCACGATGCTATGTAGGATAAAAAACATGATGTAGTAGGCTTGTTATTTTTCTTAAATTTTAAAAAGCATTTAAAATTTTTGTTGTAACAAGGGAGGAAATTTGAAAACGAACACCGGTTTAAGGTTCACCTGTACGGTTGAAATTTCTTAGTAGGGCAGTAATACGTAAATTAAATATTACAGAGCTTTAATTCAGACATTACGTTCAAAAACAATAAAAATATAACGTTTTGAAAAATGAAAAACTTGGACTATTACATTTAAACTCCTGTATAACGAATATCTCAAAGATTTTAAATTTGTTTGTTATAGAAGTTTTAAATGCACTTTTTATCGTTGGCTAACTTAAAATTGCAAGTTTTTAAATTTTATTTATGTCAAAAATATACAGCATCAAATATTATATGTACCGGTGAAGTTCTACTGGCTTGGGCATTGAGCATTTATCAATATGAACACACTCTTCGCCTCCATCTTCTTTGAAAACGTGATTTAGCTTGCATTCACATTTCGGTCGTCCACATCGGAGGGAAAAACAGGGGAAAAGCTGAAATAATTTTGTCATTTTTTCATATCATAAGGTAATCGATGTAGCTTACAACAATTTTTGAAAGCAATGCTTTATATGGCTTGCGATAGTCGAAAAAGCCAAATTAAAGTAATGCAGAAAGGGTAGAAAATGTAGGTTGAAGTAAAGCAAGGTTCAGTATTGAAGGCCAGTACAGAAATAACGCATTCTATAGGGAATGGCAGGCGTAAAATAAAGTTTTTTATAGGGATTGACCAGTACCTTATTATATAGAGAATGGCTAGTATAGAATTAATGTCATAATGAAAATATAACAAGTAGTCTTACCGGCTTAGGATGATGACAAGAAGGCTTTGGACATATGTCTGAACATGACTTTAAATAAGCATTTGTGGGACATCTAGGGTCTTGAGGACCATTTTCTGATGAAAACAGTTCTTCATCTTCAAATTCGTTAATATTTACTGTGGTTGGATTTCTATGAAGTGTAGTCGATGATACGGCTATAAGTAAAAACTTATTTTCACAGTAGGTAGCTTGAATAACATACTTTTACAAATTTACAAAGTCCTAAGTAACAAGGCTGTCTAAAAATCATTCGACTGGTCGAAAATGGTCGAACAATAATTAAAAACTTACTGCCAAGACATTTGGTTCTAGTAATGCATTTCCCTCTGATTCTCACATGTCTGTGGTCACAAAAGCATCCTCTTCTACAGCCGAATAGACATGACCTTCTGGTGCCATTTCTGAGCTCATCACAGGTCTCTTCACAATATGGGCCACATTCCATATATTCTTCACCTTGTTGATGACAAATATGGGGCAATGAAGTTAGGGGGGGACGACATTGAAAATGATATTGAAATTACTTGGGATAACTGAAAAAAAAATTGATTACAAATAACCTTTTGAAAAAACATCAGGCATAATATTACCTAAAATTTTTAAAAAATTTTTTGACTTAGATAACAAAATTTCGAAAATTTTAAAAATTTTATATAAAAAGGCAAGTCTTACCTCAAAAAGCGCTAATATCATGAAAATGAGCATGATGAATACTCTAGTTAGTACTACAGTTTTGCACTGTATTTTTGATGTTATTTTAGTTTAGTAACAAGTGGAATTATAAGTTATGACATTGCAAATGAAAAGTATTGCACTTGGAAAAAACTCTAAAATTGTAGTAGGGTGGAACAGCTAAACAAATATTACAAGTTATAAATGTTTTTTGTAGTAAGAACGTGCAGGTCAAATCTAAAAACTTTTTACTTAAATTTTTGAAAAGGCGATTTGATTTTTTAACGCGGTAGCATATTGTATTTCATGCCGTAGCCTAGACCTAACGTAACGTTACTCTAATTTTATTTTAACTTTATTCTAGTCTTACCTTTTTTTTAACTTTGGTCTTACACTTACTCTAATCTTACCATAGCTCTTCCTTAGTTTTAGTCTAGAACTGCCTTAGTTTTAGCTTATACTACTCTAGGTTTGGCTTGGAACTACCCTAGAATTAGCTTAGAATTTCTTTAGGTATAGGCTAGAACTACCTTAGTGTTGATTTAGAAAGTCCCTAGTCTTGGCTTTGAAATGCCTTAGCCCTAGCCTAAAACCGCGCTAACCCACGCCTTAAACTGCCATAGTCCAAACCTAGTACAACGTTAGTTTTTAGTCTAGAATTGCCTACGTTTTGGCCTAAAACTGCCTTATTCCTCAACTAACCTACTTTTAACCTAGGATTTCTTTAGTTCAAGCCTATTATTGTCTTAGTCCTAGCCTACAACTGCCTTAATTTTAGCCTAGAACGGGCCTACTTTTAACCTAGAACTCTCCTAGCCTAGTTTTGCCTTAGTTCTAGCATAGAACTTCCCTAATCATAACCTAGTAATTCCTTAGTTCTAGCATAGAACCGCCCTAGGTCTAGCTTAGAACTGCTGTGGTTTTACGCTAGAACTCCCCTAGTCCTGACCTAAAACTGACTTATGTCTGGCAGAGAATTGCCCAAGCTTTACCACTGCACTACCCTATAGCCACGCCCTAACTGAAAAACCCGTTCAAAACCAAGTTCAGTAAATAAATCGTAGCATTCCCTCAACTACAATATTTCTGTAAGAGTTTTGTTATGACTCTCCATTTTTGAGGCGGTTGTCATCAAAAGTGTTTGTTTGTAAGGGGATTTGAAAAGAGAATACCTGAAATATTACTCGGTGAGTAAATGCGATTAGCCAACACAAAATATATTTACAATAAACGTGTGTATTTGCTATCAATGTGTCAAAGAGGAGGGTTTGTAAGCCTAAAAAAGGCAACAATGATCAAGAATTGAACTTGTGGTTTAGGTATGTAGTAAATATTTGATACAGAGGTTATGACAAAGCATATTGAAGTAGAAGAAAACTGTTTTTTACGATAAGAAGCCAAAAAAAATACCGTTTCTTACAAAGACAGACTACGGTATAGACTAACATTTTTAAAAACAAGTAAAAAGTGAAAGTCTGAACTTGTTAGTAATATCAAAAAATGACAAAAAATAAACAATGAACGAGTTACGCAGCTGCAATCTATAATAATATAATATAAAACAAAGGTAATTTGATGGGTTATGATGAAACGGTTTTTTGGTGGGCATATAGTGCGTATTATTATTCTAATAACCGTATTATGTTCACCTGTTTATTGATTTTTCTTTGTATTTTAACTTTTTGTATACTGTCTCCTATCCTTAGTTCTATCTTTACCCTTACACCTTTACCCCTAAACTTACCCCTACCCCTATTCCTTGCTCCTATCTCTACCCCTACCCCTACCCCTACCCCCTACCCCTACCCCTACCCCTACCCCTACCCCTACCCCTACCCCTACCCCCTACCCCTACCCCTACCCCTACCCCTACCCCTACCCCTACCCCTACCCCTACCCCTACCCCCTACCCCTACCCCTACCCCTACCCCTACCCCTACCCCTACCCCCTACCCCCTACCCCTACCCCTACCCCTACCCCCTACCCCCTACCCCTACCCCTACCCCTACCCCCTACCCCTACCCCTACCCCTACCCCCTACCCCTACCCCTACCCCCTACCCCTACCCCCTACCCCCTACCCCCTACCCCTACCCCCTACCCCCCTACCCCTACCCCCTACCCCCTACCCCTACCCCTACCCCTACCCCCCCCCCTACCCCTACCCCCTACCCCCTACCCCTACCCCTACCCCTACCCCCTACCCCCTACCCCCTACCCCTACCCCTACCCCTACCCCCTACCCCTTACCCCTACCCCTACCCCTACCCCAACCCTACCCCTACCTCTACCCCTACCCCTACCTCTACCCCTACCCCCTACCCCCTACCCCTACCCCTACCCCTACCCCTACCCCTACCCCTACCCTTACCCCTACCTCTACCCCTACCCCTACTTATATTCTATATTATGTATGTATATGTGAGTTAGTGTGGTGACAAGAGGATTCGGAAGACGTCTCAATGGCCGTTTTTAAATTTGGAAAAGTTTGAAATTCTGAGTGCGGGGGTGAAAATCCGTGCAAAATTTCATTTTCTCTAAACTGTTTTTGACGTGTTGGGAACGCTGGAAGGGCACGGTGAAACATTTTAGTCACTGTTCTTGGCATGTTATATAATACTAAGTTCGTATATTGCTATTTTTTGTTTTGTAAAGAAAGTTCTTGCTATTTATGTTTTGTAAAGAAAGTTCTTGCCATTTTATGTTTTGTAAAGAAAGTTCTTGCCATTTTATTGTTTGTAAAGAAAGTTCTTGCCATTTTATTTTTTGTAAAGAAAGTTCTTGCCATTTTTTGTTGATGGACTTTCATTTTTTCATGTTTTTCATTAAAAATTTTTTTAAACACCTAATTTTGTTACCTAAACTGATGACCTAACTTAATTATCTCATTTTTATATTCTTTGGTCGCGAAATTCAAAAGAATTTCGCGCAAAGTGGGTCAAAGACATCTTATATTGGGCCACGAATATTAGGCCATGGTTGTTTGTTTGCGTTTTGTCAGGCCACGCTCGCTTCTCCATTTCGGTTTGCACCTTGTCTTTCCGCTGGTTTGGTATTTGATATGGCAACGTTGTTTTACGTGGTAGACGGTGTTGTCTACTATAATGTAGAGTTTTTGAGATTTTGAAAATTTAAGGTCGGAAGGCAAAATTTTAATCTTTTGTTAAGGTCAGGGCTTGGGAAATACGATGATGAGGTAGGGTAGGCTTATAAGACGGTATTAGAGTAAGGCAAACTAGGAAAGATAGAGTAGGATAGAGTAAGGTAGGACAGGGTAGGGTATACTAGGATAGGGCAGGGTAAGATAAGGTAGGGAAGAGCATAGTGGGTAGAGTAGGATAGGATAAAGTAAGATACATTTTGTTACAGAAGCTTACATAACTTATGCTATAACAAAATAGCCTTAGAGAAATTGCAAAAAATGAAATTACGTAACTTTTTGTTATGTAATATCTGTTAATTTTGTAATATTTGCCTTGGTGTAAAACGACCCAACAAATGACTGCGGGTGCTGGGATTGTATTCCGTATTTCTGCGGGGGATTATGGTTTATCTGCTAAAATATAGGCTTACTAATACGTTTCTAGCAATAAGCATAAGGATACATCAGCCTATTTAAGCCTAAGCCAATTAAACTGAGCTTAGGCTTACTAAGCCTAAGTTTACTAAGCATGAGCCTACTAAGCTTAAGCCTAAGGATACTAAGCCTACGCTTACTAAGCTTGACATTACTAAGCCTAAGCCTACTAAGCTTAATCCTACTAAGCTGAAGTCTAGTAAGGTGAAGCCTACCAAGCCTAAGCTTTCTTCCCATTCTGCCATTGTTTTTGTGTTCTCAATTGCTATTATAATTACGTAGAATTGTCGCATTACTACGTTGTGCACGCCACGATTAGATCGTAGCCTAGATACGGTTACAGACGTTCGTGATATTCATCTGATGTTTAGTTTCCCTCGAAATTCTAAACTTCCTAATCAAACAGTCGTGACATTATTTTTTTATTTTATATTTCTGAAATGTCTCGTAGGCCACTTCATAAGTCCTATCTTGTGCTGGTAAGCCTAGAATCTTCTGCTCAGCCTATAATTGCATACTCACCTTGAAGTCTTTTGCTAAGAATTGGGCTTAAAATTGTGAAGTGAGGTATCCAAATCACTATTACTGCCTCTACCTTTGCTTCTAATCTTACTTAATTCAATTTTTTTGTCATTTTTTAACATCTTTGCTGATAAGCCTATTCTTGTTCAATAAGCTTAGAATTTTCTGGTGGATACTTTTTTTATTATTTTTGCACCGTAAAGCTATTGAAAACTATTTTCACAGCCGAATATCTATCTAAAAACGATCTTTTCCTCTTCGGCTTATTACATGGAAGTCGTGCGCTAAAATGGAGATTATTACTTTTCTCTCAAAAAAAATGATTTTCAAATTTTCGTGTGAATTTAATGTACAGTGGAACTTCTGTATAACGAGTTTCTTATAACAAGCCACTTTGAACTTCTGCCAGCACTACACGGTGCATTAAGAACTTGTGCATAACGAAATTCTTTTATTACGAAAGAATTTACAATCTCCGTGCGCTTTGTTATACAAGAGTTTCACTGTATAATATTGGGTTGAACCAAAAGTAACGGAACACTTTTAGTTGACAAATAAATGAAAATTGTCCCGCTACAGGTACTACTTGTGGACCGATTTAAAAAAAATTTTTTTTTGTTTTTTCACGTACAGCTACCTCCTACCTGTGGATTTTTTTTTCGGATTGGCCTTGGGGAGGGAGTCCACCACCCAAACGACGTCCCTGATCTTGCGAGTTTCTCTTTTTCATATCATAACTTTTTAGTTTTACATAATAATTACTTGGGGGTTAGGACGAAACTTAGAAATTCTTTTATTTGTAAACGTAGGTTAAGGCTTTAGGCTTTCATTTTTTTGAGTTGCCAGTTTAGGAGAATAGGCCAAAAAATTAACATTCACACCTAAAACTACTTGTAGGTTTATTTCATGTTTTATACATCAGATTAATATTATGAACGGTTGCTTTATTATTTTTTTCGTCTAAATATTTCGAGAAAAGTCTAGTTAAAATTGGTAGCCGATTGAAAAAAAAACGAGATGAGTCAGAGGCGCGCGCTACTTCGCGTGTTGTTTTGTTATTGTTGCTTGTCCTTTCCATCGTTGGGAGACATGTTATATGTATTGGAATTACATGAAAACGGTTTCAAAAAATGGAAAAAAAGAAAAAAGTTTTGATTTTTTACATTATTTTGAAAGATACGACTTAATTTTTAAATTTTTTGATGGGGGTAGGTAGAGCTGAAGATTGCAACCATATTGGGCATGGTTGAACAAAATTTGAGACTTGCGAAGCCGGGTAGGCACATTTGGGTCTGAGGGCCGGGGTTCAAATGAAGGCCACATGGACCTATAATATTATAGTTTAGGTCCCGCAACGAAAGATTTGATCTTATACTTTTTGCATATTTAAGGTTTCAAACTATTGTATTTGGTAAAATACGACGTTAAAAACATTTATTGCGTTAGTAAAAAGCTAATAATTTTAACAAAAAACGTGATTTCTGTTACAATGACTCGTATCATTGCGTGGTAAACTAATAACATAAAAACAAAATGCTTGATTTCTGAGAACTGTTTTCCATCGTTAAATAGTTTGTCAATTCGTTAAACCAACAACATTTCAGCGTCAAAATGAAAAAAATTTTATGAGGGTTTTTAATTAAACTTTTCCTTAGCGAGGGGTGGATTTTTCAACGGTTTTAGTATAATAGTTCTATCATAGCCCTACTCTTGGTTGTTGTAATAGCTGTACTCTTGCTTTATTATAGCCCTATTCTAGCCTTAGCTAAGCGCTGCCTTAGCCCTAGTCTTAGATCAGCAGTAGTATAGCCCTAGCCTTACCCCAGCTTTCGCCCAGCCTTATCCTAGCCGTAGCTTACCTTTCTTCTAGCTACACGTTATCAAGGAGACGAACTGTTCCAATTGGTACCCGTGTTATGAACTGCGGTTAGGCTCATTTGAAAGCTTATTAAAGTACAAGTTAAACAAAAAAACCTAGTTGCCAACTAAACCCTTAATGCAAGTTATGGACATTTCTTATCGTTGGACTTAGTTGGCACCTTGCCAGCTCTACTTTAGCCATGCTTTAACCTACTCTTGCCCTTGCTTAGCCTTGCTTTAGCGTAGCTCTAATTCTAGCCTTATCATAGTTCTATCTTAATACTAATGTGGTAGCATGTTTCGGCAAGAGTGTTTTGTCAATACCATATTATACTTGTCTTCTCGATTCACTCAACGTCAACAAGCTTAGTTTCTAACCTATAATACGATTAAAACGCAATAAAACTCGGTTTTTTTCAATTGAATTTTGAAAGTTCCAAGTGTTTACAAAACTTGAAAGAAGGCAGCATGAGTCATCAGCAGTAGCTTTAACCATGCTTTTAATATTTTATATACACAGTCAGGTGATTTTGTTATGGTTTTTTGTTTAGAGGTTAGTTGGTGGGTTTGAAAGGGAAAGGTAGAACAAGGTAGCGTAAATTGGAGCAGGTCAAATCAAGACATGGCAAGGTCGGGTAACTCAGGGCAGATCAGAGTAGGCAAGGCAAAATAGGACAGAACGGGGAATTGCAAAACGGGGAAGGACATGACAGTACAAGGCAAAGAAGGTCAGGATAGGCGGGACAAGGCAAAACAGGTCAGGTCAGGGCAAGACAAGGCAAGGTAATTTAAGGTAAGGTAGGTTAGGTTAGGGTAGGGTAGGGTAGGGTAGGTTAGGGTAGGGTAGGGTAGGGTAGGGTAGGGTAGGGTAGGGTAGGGTAGGGTAGGGTAGGGTAAATAACCACAATATAACACAACACCGCTTAAATATACTTCCAGAAACCGGGTTTATTTACTATTCACCGTTCTCTTGGTATGTCTCTCTCTCTGTAAAACCACGGAGAGGCAGGTATTGTTTCGATTCTTCATGTTTTTACCGGATCGAATACCTCGAGGTTTTTTTGTTTTTCGCTTAAAATCGATTTTTGTCCGCCAAGACTTATTTTCTATTTTTCAGTGTAAAGAAAGTTTTTGAGAGGAAAATTTTTATATTTTTGTATTCTTAAAAAGATGACAATTTTATCGACCAGTAAAATTTAAAGTAATTTTGATCAAAAAATAACGTTTTTGCACTTTTGTTTAGCTGACGTCGGCGAAAAGTCGTCTTTAGTCATCGTTAAATTAACAATTTCGCGCTTCTTCCGTCTAAAGTTGACCCAATTCATTGACGAAAAATGCTTCAGTTTTCTTAACTTTATATTTAACTAGTCATGTACTACATTTATTTTGTATTGGGTCACTAAAAATTATTATTCTTGACTTCAGTGGCACTTTCTCCTTGTTTTTGGCCATTTTGGTCTTTTAACTTTCATTTTTCGAAGTTTAGACATAAAGAAAGGTCTTTTTATAAGCTTAAAGTATCATAAAATAGCCATACCTCATTGCAAAATTATCAAAGATTTTCAAAAATCTATTTTATATTTAAAAATTTCAAAAAAAAAAGTCATTGAATACAAGTTACGCACGATAATACCTAGATGTCAGGGTTACCATGGTAATCTACTCATGTAAATAAGGTTGTTGCGAAAGGAAACGCTATTCGGATTCTTTCATACACGCATTTGCATAATAATCATGGACGTTCAATTTATTGGTTTATTTGAATTCATTTTTTGGATTTTTAAATTTTTTAAATTCGTTTGCGAAGCAATAAAAACCGTATTTTACAATTTAAAGGCATTGAATACCATAAGGTATAGTTGCAGTTAAAAGGCTTGTTATTTTATAGCACTTTAAATTATCTTCATAGCTTAAAGTAGCAGAAAGTCATGATCAATTTGACAAGCCAAGGTACATCTTGAAGCTAGTGTAATATAACTTTTTTTTCATTATTATGAGTTATTTGCTAGTATGAAGTTCTATTGTTTGTTTCCATTTTAAAATACTGTATTTTAGCTATTTAATTCAACTTGATTTACTATAATAGTTTTTGTTTTGACTGAGATATAACCGTTCATCCAGCATCAATTCCTTCTAAATTTTAAGGTAATATGACGTTTTTTAATTGCCATTTTTATGCCATTACTATGAACACATTTTGTTTACTATGTCTTGAAAGTATATTTTATTGTCCGTCGTTAAAAGATAAAATGATCTGTTACCTCGCCATAATCCTAAGATACGATCAATTTTCTAACATCAACTCATAACCTCTAGTGCAATACCGCCTTTTATTTCCTAATTACCCATGATATTTGGCTTAACAATATACATCTGTACTTATCGAAAAACATCTTTAAATGCAAAAAAGAAGCAATTTTCATTACAATCTCCAAAGATTTGTTTATTTGAAGAGACGCATATATTATAGTAAACCAGACGGATTATAAAATTTGTGATTCTAACGAGTTTTTTGTTTTTAAATTATACTCCTGAACTTTGGCTTGAAATTGAATCCGAAATTAGTTTTTTCCGGCTTTATATGGGATGGACATTGCTCTGGCCAAGTTGTTTTTTTGGCGCGTAATTAGCGGTTTGAAATCTGTGGCTTTTCGTTCCACGTGGATTTTGTCGGAAATTTATTATCGCGCGACATTCGATCGTTTTCTTATCGTTTCTTTAGATATTTTCTTTATATTTAGATATTATTATTGATCTGAATTTTAGTAAACAATAATTTGCGCGTTTTTTCTTAATTTTTTCAAGGTTTTTTCAGCTATAAATAAACCTAAAACAATATAATGTCAAATAACTTTCAGAGAAGCTACTAACAAATCACTGACTATGTACAAAAAGCACAGTACTATCGTGCTGTGTCTGTTACTACTAACACAGCCGTTGGCTGAAGCCAGACGAGGCGGTGGAGCCAGCATTTCCAGGGGCGGCGGAGCTGCTCGTGCTGGAGTTGCACCAGGAGGCGGTGGTGCTCCAGGTGGAGGTAAGGTTTTGTTTGGTTTATGTTTTTAGATTCATATTTTATTTTTTCAGTTATTAAAATATAATCTGAAGAATTCCGAGTTTGAATTGAGGGAGATATTGTGGATTTTCTGGCAAGGATCTAAGTTAATATAGGATATGTGTTATATTTGAAAGTTTGTGATGTATTTTGGGCATATAAGGCTTTCAATAGTTAATAATAAGACTTGTAGTAGTTTCAGGAATTTTTTTAGTTTTAAATTTAGATTGATAAAGGTAGTTGAAATGGTGGTTTGAAGTGATATTAGACTTGACATTAAGAAAAGTTAAAATCCTCACAATTTTTGACATGAATCGTTTTAATTTTTTAATATGTTTGATCAAAACCATATTAGTTTCATAATTTCAGGTGGATTTGCTCCAAGCCAAGGAGGCGGATTCCAGCGACCAGGTGGTAATTTCCAACAGCCACAAAACAACTTCCATCCTCAACAACCACAGAACAACTTCAACCAAGGTGGTGGAGCGCGTGGATTTGGAGGTCCAGGATTTTCTCAACCTCATTACAGTCAACCTAGCTTCAATGCTCATGGTAACTCACTCGGATCGCCTTCAAGAGCTGGTTCTTTCAAGACTGCGTTGGCTGGAGCTGCTCTTGGTACTGTTGGTAAGGTTTTTGAAGTTTTTTTGGTGTTTATGTTTAGGTTTTTGGTCTTAAAAGATGCGAAAGAGTTTTGGGAAGAACATGCGGTGTTGTTTAAGTTGTTTTTGAGAGTTTGAGTTATGAAAATTTTAATTTTTTGGGTGATGGTCAACATGACGTAATATATTGTTGAGGAAAAGTTAATGTTTCTTATTGAAATTGAATTGAAACTTTTATGAAATTAACGTAGAATCTTCAAAACAATGTATTCTAACTACCAAAGTTGGCTTTGCTTTTTATTTTTTGAACAAATTTACCTTATTTTAGGTGGTTTGTTGGCGTTTGAAGCCGGAAAAGCGATTATTCGCTCAGCCACAACTCCATTTAACCACGATGGACGTGACTACTACTTTGATAGACAAAACTACAAAGGCAACAGCAACAATGTCTGCACAATGCCACTTCAACAGTTGATCAATGTTCAGAACCCAGCTCCAACCACTACTACAACTGCTGCTCCAGCCGCTGGTGAAGCCGGTGTGACTCCAGCTCCTGATGCCACAACCACCATGGCTCCACAACAAGTTCTTCAGAATGTAAGCTTTGGTTTGGTATAATGGGAGTTATTGAGGGTAAAAGGCGGATAACCTAGTGTAATATCTCTTTTTTTGGCTTTAATCTAATTTTACCTGTTTCAGATCCAATTCCAAGATGGATCAAGACCAAAAGAAGTGGTATGGTCCTGTAAAGTGAATGAAGTATGTTGTGGCACTGATTGTTGTCCAGCACCTCAAGGCCAGTCCGCTGCTCCGAACGCCGGAAGCAGTCATCACGGTGGTGGACCAGGTATTGGAAGTATCGTCGTCGGGTGAGTTTTTCTGCCAGTTTTTGTGTGATGTGCTTAATGTGATGGTTTTTGTGTGGTTTTTCATTTTTAAAGTTATTTGTGTGTGTTTACGTGGGAGAGACATGTTATACGATGAAACATGTTTTTTGGAAATTGATTTTTTTTTGAAAATTAGGTAAAATACGATTTTTTACTGGTGGAAGGGATTATTATTATTTTTTAAATTTCACTTTGACAAAGTGGACATTTTATACGATGAAAAGTATTTTTTGCAACACCTAACTCACCTAGTACAACATAATGTTGCCAATGTGTATTGTCCGCATCATTAACCAAAAGTTTGTGTGTGTGGCACTAATCTCAGCACCAAAGCCTACGTGGACAATATTTACAGTGCTTTAGTATTCTCCTTATTATACTGATCCTATCATGCTGCTGCTGCTTCTTGGTCTACAAATTCTGCCGCGAATCCATCGAATGCTGTTTGCCGAAGAACAGGGAAGACAACTACTACGATGACAGCCACAAATACGAAGGCAATGGACAAGGTAAGGGGGTTCATTCGGGGTCTTGAGGTGAGATGTTTTAAAAATCTAGATGTTTTTTGGGGATTTTTTGAAATTTATGAGGTATGGGTAATGTTTATCTTAATTTTGTGGTAGTAAATGACAAAATAGGTGTTGTTTTTGGGTTTTAATAGATAAAGAAGATAATGAGGATTATTTTAGATATAAACTGGGGTATCTTTGAATTGAAATAGATAAAGAATGAGCTATTTTTGCTCATGGGGCTACGATAGGTCTCATGGATAATATAAATTTGAACTTTTTGATAAAGTCGTTAGTGTAAATTGATAGTTTATGTATTTACAGAGTAAGAAAGGTTATTTGTGATGTTAATATAGTAGCATTCTGACCATGTAGCTTTTAGAATTAGCTGTATGAGGAATTACGTATAAGGTGTCATGGATAATATAAATTTAATTTTTTTGTGAAACCTATAGTTAAATTTGAGGTTTTATATATTTACAGGGTAAGAAAGATTACGTTTGACGTTTTCATAGTATTATTTTGACTATGTAGTTCTTAAAATTAGCTGTAGGAGGAATTATATGTCAGGTATCATGGTTAATATAATTTTGGTCACAATGAAGGAAAATGGAAAAATCAATAAAATTAATATGTACTATAAGATGTGCTATTGTTTTTTGAGTAGTTTGAAAGTTAGATTTAGGTTTGGGAATTTAAAAATAAGTTTTTATGATATAATTTACGGTAGTAGGTACCATGGATAATATAATTTTAATCAGAAAATTGATTTTTTTGAAATTTTTTAACAATAATGTGATCTAAAATGAAGTTAGAAAACTTTTTTTAATATTTTTGCTTTATATTTACTTTATTTTTTTCAGGTAATGCTTATCCAATGGGTCCCTATCCACCGCAGCAGTCATATCCACCCCCACCTCAATACCCACAACAAGGTGGCTACTACCCAGCCCAGCCTCAAGCTCAACAAGGCTACCCTCAATACCCTCATCAACAACAGTTCTAGGCATTTCACTGATTTTACAACGAAAAAACTTACTTTTTAAAAGATTTGGTACGATTTTTTAACCTTACATTGATGTATAACATGATATGTTGGTCTATATAGGCTGAATATTATAGTGAAATGTCAATTTTTGTAATGCCAGTTAGTGTAACTTTTTCACTCTTTAGTATTATTGCAGGTTTTGTGGGTATTAAGTGCTGTGTTTTGCTTTTTTGTGATATTATGTGTCATCTCTTCCCCTTATTTTGATATAAACCTTGATGTTTCTTGAGGTCATAGTATAATATCAAATATGCCGTTCTACTTTTTGTGTTAAACTATGTCATTTACAAGTATTAGTCGTTGTTTTGTCATCTTGTCTTTCGGATACAAGCAGTTTTTTGAAGATTTCCGACCGTTTTTTGCAGTTCAAGTAGCATCTACAGCCATGTCATAGATGTAAATACGATCATTCACATATTTTTTATTGTTCTAACGTTTCTATATTAAGGTAGCTGAACGAGAATTTTGTTTTTTATGTTGTGAAAGTTGGTTTTTTAAAGTTTGAAAGCTATTTTTGGAGTTGCAAAGGATTTACGATATTACACTTGATATCAGATGTAGGTATCAAGGAAAAATGATGTTTAGTATTAAAATTTAAAAAAAAATAAAATTGTGGCTGATATTGACAGATATGATAAAGAAATGACTGCTTCACAATATAAAATTAACTTTTAAAATTTTTGTTTAGTTTTACCTTTGTTATGATTCAAAACACGAAATGGGTATATTATTGTAAGTCTTGTTGTATATGAAGGACAATAAAGTTAATCCTTGTTTTGTTTTTGGTGTGAATATGGTTCTAGAATGTGTTGATGTACGCTGGATTTATTTTTGCTGTTTTTTATTAAATGTTAAAAAATAACATTGGTTTTTTGAAAGATTTTCGAAATTTTTCAATTTTGCATTGGAAGAAAGGACTTTTAAAAGACTTGAAATTTTGAGAAATTTGAAGAGTGGCTATTCTTAAGCATGAAAAGAAGTTTATATTTTGAAATTTTGAAGGCGTTATTTTGATTTATGACAGAGTTATGCTGATTTGAAAGTCGAAAATTCAAAAAAGTGTTTTGCCATTTTTAAGTGTTTGGGGGTGTAAAATACGTTAACTAATTTTTATGCGTCATTTTTGTAAGATTGTGAAATTTTGAGGGCGGTAGAGTGAGTTATGGCAGAGTTATGTTGATTAAGAATGTCAAAAATCAAAAAAAAGTTTGAATCCGGCTAGAATCTTGGGGCTCTAAGTTAATACAGGATATGTGTTATATTTGTGCTGTTTTTAACTGTTCATGATGGTAAAATACGTGCACTTATCTTCGCAGGGAGTATTATGTTAAAGTACTTTGTTTAAAATGTAAAAGTTTTGGTAAAATACGTTAAATTTGGCCACAATAAGTTCGAGGAATCCGAGTTCGTATGTACAATTTTTTATTTTTCCACATCAATTTTACAATAAGATTGTCGTTTGAACGAATAACAATAAAACAATCAAGCAAATGATAGTACAATTTTATCACAATTACAATGTAAATCAATCAAACATGGTCGCATGTACCGTATTTTAGGTAATATCGACCTTATTTTAGGTGACATAGACCTTCTTATAGGTGATATAGACCTACTACTAGACCTTCTACACCTTTTTTTGGTGTAAAACATACAATTTTAGGCTTAAATACAGTAGGATATTACAGTAGACCGAAATGTCTTCAACAAGTACAGTATTATTGAATTTGAGTACTGTAGGTACAGTATGACAATATTGATGACATAACAATGTAGTAAAACAGCACATAGCATATATCAAGGTAAAGTCATATAAATGAAATGATCAATGATACCAAGAACACCAATGACAACATACCGTACAACAATATAATTCATCTACAGTAATATTACAGTACACCGCTACGAATTGTAGTCGATTTACTATGAAATTATGATTACATATAACAATATCAGCTTGATTGATACAACAAAGACCAAGTTAAAAAGTAGATATAAATCTAGCGAAGTTCAATGGGTTACGGTAACAGAGTTCTACTGTAATTTTGGTCGATTTTTGGGGTTTAAAGGGGTTTGGAGGAAGGTTGATATGTTAATGTATTTATCAACATACGATGGTGATACGACGATATTTTGATGTAAAATCTTGTCGTAGGTTACTGTAACTTAACTACAATACGTTGTATCCAAATTACAGTAATCCAAGCTGGCTAATAGTATGATTTAAGCCCAAAAACCCTAAGGCAATGGCCAAAACCTCATAATATTAACTTATTTCACCACCCTTCCTCACCTTAAACACTATAAAACTTTCCGATAATCGACCAAAAGCCACAGTAATCCACTGGCATACGGTAACCACCAAAATTACTATTAAAATAATGTAAAAAATTAACAATATAACAACCACAACGAACAAAAAAGAACTTTAGAGACAGTGTTACTTGAAAGAAAACCATTCAAAAGTGCAAATATTAAGGACGAAAGAGAGAGAGAGAGAGTTAGAGAAAAAAAAATGCGTCGAGAGATTGTTGAAATGGAGAGACGGTAGAGAAAAAAGGTGATGACAAAATTTGGGTTTTGGTTGGGATGAAATGGCATTTTAATGGGTTGGTGGGGTACTGTAATTAGAGGGGTTTTGATACTGTAAAAAGTATTCATATGAATGGGTACTGTATCTAGGTTACGGTATTCGTTCATATGGCTACAGTAAAGAATATGGTACAGTACTGTATTAAACATGGTACTGTAGACATACGGTAGAGTAAACATTATATGGGTACTGTAACTACTAGAGCACAGCATTTCATATAGTGTTACTGTAGCCGGTATGACACAGTATACAGACTCATATGCATACAGTATGAATTAGTTTGCACAGATACTGTAACAAGTATAGTACCTAAATAACCTTCTCTTACAGCCTAAAAATGCTTCTTTAAAAGTTATGTTACAGTACCAAACCACTCATTATAAGCTCTCATATTTACTGTATCAAGTACAGTACTACAGTACATCAAGTACAGTACTACAGTCCTTGATACAGTACCTATGAGAGCTTATAATGGGTAGTATAAATCCTTCTTACAGTCTAGAAACACCCTTTACAAAAAACTTTGCAGTACGACATTACTTATTACGTTACAGTACCAAACCACCCATTAAAAGCCATCTTCTCACCCAATGTCATCCAAATTCTGTCCCAAAAATCAAAAGTTCTGTACATTTTTCGAAAGAAAATGAAAAAAAAACAAAAATTTCGCGAAACATAGATGATCTATGACAGATCCAAGACGTACAACATGAAAAAGACGTTGAACTGTACAGAAACTCAAAAAAGGAAAAAATTAGTCAAAAACTTGACCTTTGGCTTGAGAGGGGGTTAAAAAACTTAACAATTATTGAAAGACGTTTACAGTATCAACAAAAAGAGATAAAAACGGGGGTTTAACTGGGGTTTAACAAGGACCGAAAAAAAACTGTTGTTAAAGGCAATTAAAGAGGTTAGTGCAACAAAAACGACCGGTCGATTTGGGGATTTAGCTTTGACGGCTAAACTTGTATGTTAGTAGGGTCTGATGAAGCCTACCCTTGTATGTTAGAGTAGGGTCTGGCCGGTCAATTTTGCTAGAATCGACCGGTCTTCGACCTTGAAATAGGGTTATATGGTCTTTGGAGGTGCTTTACATACTGAAGATTTGATGTTTTGGTACTATATAGCACGAAAAAGGAAATTTCATGTTTGGTACTATATAGTATGAAAACGAAAATTTTTGGTCCCTTAGTAGGGTAACATATGGAGATGTTTGAAGGCTTCATACTGTGAGATGAGGTTTTTTGAAGTAGTACATAGTACTGAAAACAACAAAACCAGCCCTACCTACCCCAACATTACACCTCACCGTCTGCTACAGTAATCCGAACCCATTACGTTTTTCTGTTACTAAAGCCCTGTTTTGAGTTTCACATTTCTCCGTACTTTTTACACGTATATACACCTATTTACATCTATATTTACAACATGTTTTTGTATGGACATACGTTAAGCTTCAGTACTAAGGCTTTTACTAGTCTATGGTACTGTAAAATAAGTCATTTGGACCTATTTTTGTAGCTTAAAGCTTCAAAAACTGGTTTGAAACCGAGTTCAAGGCCAAAACCCAGTTTCAAAGCTGTCCAAAACAATATACCTTGAGATACCGAGCGTTCCCTACCCTCATACCTACTCACATTGCTATATAACAACGGTATAACGCGTCGGAAGGTGATATTGTACACAAAAACGTGGGAAAAAATTTCATTTTCTTTCAATTTCTACCTAAAAATCGACAAATTGAGCGTTTGGCTATGCCTTAGGGCTTGTCAGGGATCGTACTGGTAATACAGTATGTCCTAGTGATACTGTTAAGTATGTTCTAGTGATACTATATAGTATGTCGTAGTGATACTGTAAAGTATGTCCTAGTAGTACGATGAACTCACAGTACTCCCTGACGCCACACTAGCCCGTTCTCAATCTACAGCCTCTCAGGGGATGACAAATCTCGATCGATTTCTTTTGTACTCTTAGAAAAGCATTGAAGCGAAAACCAACAAATAGTATAACAAGCTGAAAAATTATTCAAATTTCGAACGGAAAATCCACGTATCTTTTGGCGGATGGTACTGAGCTTAGTACTAAAGATTTTGAAGTTTTTACCTTCGTACTGAAGATTTTGAATCTTGTACTTTCGTACTGAATCTTTGACCTTCTTACTGAAGGCTTTGAGACCATTTTTGGTTCGTACTATATAGTAATAGGTACTGAAATTCGAAGTATAGTACTAGATACTAAATTTGAAATACAATATCAGGTACTAAACAGTATAGTACCAAGTACTAAACCTCGTACTATAAACCAAAAACAGTATCAACCGCACCTAGATACTGATTTCGATAGTCTAACCCATGATGTACTACTAAGCCTAATAGCATCAGCAGTACCATTAACAAAAAAATTATAAATTAAGCGGACTAGAAGGGACAAAACTAAGTATTAAAGTTACTATTACAATATGAATTTGAAGCAACTTTGAAGTGGTACTGAAAATTGAGATTTTAGCATCGTACTGAAAATTGGTTTTAGTACTGGACCAAATTAGTTTTCAGTACTGTGCCATAGGTGTTTATTAAATTGTTCAAAAAATTCTGAGCCACTTAACCCTCAAAGTTTGCTTTGAAGATGGCTCATAGTTTTTGAACAACCTTATAAACGTGTATGGTCCAGAGCCTATAGCACCGTACTAACATTATATTCCCAGTACCAAACCAAAAACCAAATCCAAGTACCATACTCCCAGTGACTTCAAAACGTTAGCACTGAAAGAAAAAATGTCGTAGATTTTCGCAAAAACACCACAGTACACCGCATATCTACGGTACCGTACCGTATCCGGTGTTTCAAAAAAATCAACTGACCAGCAGTTAGTTACACTCAAAAAATGAGTTTCAGAGAGGGGGCACGGACAAGAAAAAAGGACTACAAGCTCGAAAAACAACATGGCGGATGGTCCACATCCAAACAAACACACTAAACTGACGGCTTTCCAACCATCCTGCGGCCTTTTTCCTAGCGGTCGACCAAATAAATTAATTGACTCTAATTGGTGATGGGGTAGACTATGATGCTGAGTTTGGGTTTGGGGGGGGGATTTTTTGGTTTTGGGCGGGGTAATTGAAAAAATGGAGGAGAAAGTTGGAAATTGGGGAAAAAGTTGGGGTTTCAACCAAAAAAACAAAATTTTCAACCAAATCCACAAAAATTTTTAAAACCATTTTTATGCCAAAACAGGCACAAAAGATTGACATTTTATCCTGCCAAAACAAATTTTCAAAAATTTTTCAAAACAGCCCAAAAATTTTAAAAAATCCACAAAAACCCCAAAAAATCCCAAATTTTCCCTAAATTCAGCGTCGAAATGAATGGATAAAACATGAAAAAGTTGAAATAAATTAACAGCTTGTTAACGAGAAGACAAACACGACCACAAACAACAAAGACACAACAAAAAACACAGTTATGAAAGGGCGTGGGCCGGCGATTTTGGGCTTGAAATCTGGTTTTGGGGAGGTTTTTGAGATATTTGGTGGAGATTTGAGGGAATTTTGAGTTTTAGGGGGGTTGGAAGGTTGAAAATGGTATTTATAGAGGTTTTAGAATAGTGCCTGATCATTTTTAGCAATTTAAAAAAAATTTTTGAATTTCAAATAAAAAATTTTTTTTTGAAATTTTTTAATTTTTTGAAATTTTGCGAAAAATTAGTCAGTCCTATCTCTAGAAAAAAATTCTCTGCCAAAATCTACCCTTAAAACCCTAAAAAATTTCAAAAATCCGCCTTTTACCGACTAAAACCCCCAAAAGCACCCTCTAATCCAAAATTTTCGCCCATAAATCGCCATACCCTTGAAAGAAAAGTCTCCAAAACAAAAAACTGAACGAAGCAAAAATCCACCGAAGTTATGACAAAAACAAAACAACTTGTTGCTGACCGGGATCCTCTTCGGTTCAAGAGAGTGAGTGCGTTTGGAAGAGACGGTTAGAGAAAAAGAAAATACTGTTAAGAAATTGAAAATTGTCTAATTACTTTGACTAATAAACTGACAAAGTGTTTTCCACGGAAAATTAATGAATCGATCACAAGAAGTTTGAGTATTGAGTGTTTTTTTGGTGGGGCGTGGGTAGGGTAGGGGTGAGGGTGTGTGGGAAGGGGGTGGGTGAGGGGGAAGGTCTTTTTTTGGTTTAAAAATGACGTTTTTGGATCGGAAAAGGCATTTATAAGGGCGTAAAGATTGATTTTCAAGCTCAAAAATGGTTTTTTAAAAATTCAAAATTTTTTAAAAATTTTAAAATTTCAAAAAAAATTTTAAAATTTTCTTGTTTCATCCCTTATTAGATATCAAAATCTGAAAATTTAGCCAAAAGAAGCGGTTTTTGATCAAAAACAGTCTCGAAAACCCTGAAAATCAGGCAAAAACACCCCCACAACTCTTAAAATCAAGCAAAAACACCTCTATAACCCTTCAAAATCAGCCGAAAAGACCGTTCCAACCAAATGAAACACCCTTGCCTTGATTCCTTTTGTCACTTCAAGCCTTATATTCCCTCAAACCCATTCCTCTCTTTCTTTCCCTTCGTTAAACCCACGTCATTCGTCCCACCCCTCTCCAAACCCACTTCCTCTCACCCTACCCCTCCCCAAACCCACGCCCTGCCCAAAAAACACTCGACAAAGACAGCGAGACTTTAACCTTGAGGTCTGTGAAGTCGAAACACGAAAATGAACACAGTTTTGAGATTATTAGCGAAAAGAAAAACAATAAAAAGGTAACAAAAATGGAAAAAAAAAACAAACGAATTATCGACCAGAATTGCCCATTTAGATAGCGTTGGATTGGTAGCGGTACAGGTAAAGGCGGTAGTCCTTGGAAGCCAGCACGACTGAGCCGTCTTCCAGGAGAGCCACGTCGAAGCACTGGGCGTGCTTCACTTTGCTCTCCATTGCGTTGAGGAGCTCACCGTTCTAAACATTTTTTTTGCAAAATTTAAAAATTCAAAAAAACTTCATTTTCTGCTTTGTAAAGAAAGTTCTTGCCATTTTATGTGTTGTAACGAAAGTTCTTGCATTTTTTATTTCGTAAAGAAAGTTTTCGTCACTTTGTTTTTTGTAAAGAAAGTAGTTGCAATTTGAAGGCGAAACAGCGTAACTAGAGGCTCTGCGGCCTGCGGTTGACAAGTTATACGATAAATGCCACTTTTCACTTTGTAAAGAAAGTTCTCGCCATTTTATGTTTTGTAAAGAAAGTTCTTGTCATTTTTTGAGTTGTAAAGAAAGTTCTTGCCATTCTAGGTTTTGTAAAGAAAGTTCTTGTCATTATATGTTTTGTAAATAAAGTTATTGTAATTTCAAGGCAAAATAACAAAAAAATTAGTGGCTCTGCAGCCTGCGGTTGACAAGTTATACGAGAAATGCCGTTTTATCTTTTGTAAAGAAACTTATTGCCATTTTATGTCTTGTAAGAAAGTTATCGTCATTTTTTTGTTTTGTAAAAAAAAGTCCTTGCCAAAATTTTTACCTGATTGAAAATGGTCAGATTGAAGTTGTTGTGGTTGTCAGCAACAACGACCTCGCCGAAAGCGTTGATACCCACACCGATCGGGTAGTTGGTGACACCTTCACCACCAATTTGTCTCAGATATTGTCCTTCGTAGTTGAACACCTTGATGCAATGAGCGCGATTGTCGCTGATGAAGATCTCGTTCTTGTCGTTGGCACAGACGCCATTTGGGAACTCGAGGTAGCGGGAACAACTGAACTTGTGCAACACGTTGCCGTACATGTCGAAGATGAGGACGCGCATTACCTATAACAATATGATTTAGAAGGTTTGACAATGAATACCCTATCTTATTCCAGGCCCTACCGTACCCTTGGCCCTACCGTATCCTAGGCCCTACCGTACCCTAGGCCCTACCGTACCCTAGGCCCTACCGTACCCTAGGCCCTACCGTACCCTAGGCCCTACCGTACCCTAGGCCCTACCGTACCCTAGGCCCTACCGTACCCTAGGCCCTACCGTACCCTAGGCCCTACCGTACCCTAGGCCCTACCGTACCCTAGGCCCTACCGTACCCTAGGCCCTACCGTACCCTAGGCCCTACCGTACCCTAGGCCCTACCGTACCCTAGGCCCTACCGTACCCTAGGCCCTACCGTACCCTAGGCCCTACTCTACATGACCCTCTCCTACCATGCTCTACCCTACTCTACTTTCTTTTACCCTACTTTACATTACCATACACTACCGTGCTCTACTCCACCCTATCTTATCCTACATTACTCAATGTTACCCTACACAACATTACCATAGCCTACTATAACATCTTACTCAACCCTAGTATATCTCTATACTATCTCTACCCTAACATCTCTACTCCAAAAACCTTAGTCTAACCCTGGTATACCTAACAGAAATACCATTCAAACCTCCCTTACCTTGCACTCAACCACAATAACCCGACCCTGATGGTCGACGCAGACTCCTCGCGGGTGTTGGAGGATGTTGGCGCCGAACTTGCGCAAGAAGTGGCCGAACTGATTGTAGATCTGGATCTGATGGGTTGGGCTTCTCTCAGTCACGATGAAGTCGCCAGTCTGTCTGTTCACGCTAACACGGTTCGGGTACAGAAGCTGACCGTCACGTTTGCCGCACTCGCCGAACTGGAACTTGAAGTGGCCCTCCTTGTTGAAGACCTGGATCCGATGGTTGTTGGTGTCGGCTACGATGATATCGTTTTGGGCCGAGACCGCGACACCAGATGGCTCCGTGAACTGGCCTTCCATCACTCCGAACTCTCCGAACTTGCAGTGATAGGTCATCTTCTGACGCTTGATCTGACTTCTTGGTGGGTAAATCGAGAGGGCCGATACCTTGTCCTCAAGATCGGCTACACCGGTGGCGGCTGGAGCTGAGCCATTGCCCAACTCCAGAGCGTTAGCGACGGCAGTTAGCTCGAGACCAGACGACCATTTCTCGTAGTTGTTGAACATACTGATCGGGTTCTGACCCTCCAACGCGCTGATAAACGACTGGGCGGGGGCTGAAGTGCCAAAGTTGTTTTGAGTGTTGGCGAAATTGTTGTTGGACTGAAGGGTACCGAGTGGACTGGACGTCAATGGGCGGTTGTTGTTGCTACTGGAGCTGGACGATGAGTTCGAACCGACGCCGAAGCCAAGGTTGTTACAAGACGAGCCCAAGGCCGAGTCATTGCCATTTGGCGATGACCTCAACTGATCACTGGGAGGCCGTTGGGCCGTCTGTGGCATACTGTGACTTGGAACCCATGACTCTGGCCTAGCGTTCATCAAACAGTTGTAGATGGCTTGACGTGCCTGTTGTGAGTTCATCTGAATCGCCTCGATCTCGGTGCTGCTGGCCAGCTCGTTGCTTACGCTAAAGTTGAGGAAAGTCTGTAGCCTTTGGTCCACCAACGGCTTGAATACCATGACTTCGGTTGGGCTACAGTACTTGAGAAGACGCTGAGTAAACTCGATAGTCTGGCTCATTCTCTTCGTCATCTTCTGAACGTTCTTGTCAATCAACGTGATCTGAAGCTGACGGTAGGCGAACGTGGTCTCCAGGTCTTTGTGTAGCACCTTGCGCGACTCCTGTACGGCCAGAATCACAGAATCCGCGAACTCGTTGATGTGATTCTGAGCCTGTTGGAAGCTGTTGGTCAACTTGGTCTGGTAGTTGTCGATCAGTCTGAACACATCGTGGAAGTTGGCCTGCTTCTTCGTGGCTTCGGCGATCAGATCCTCCATTCGCTGCATCTGATCCTCGGCCACGTCGTCGATCTTCTCCACCGTGTGATTCTGATGCTCTTTCAGGGTGCACTCGTGACAAATGGCAAAGTTGCAGGTGATGCAAAAGTATTGCAGCGGTTGTTGTCGATGCTCCAAACAGTTGCATGGGTTGCTGCTGCGTGGGTTGACGGGCGACGCGACCTTACTCAGGATCTCGACACGATGACCGTCGAAGCAGTGCATCGTGGTGTGGGCCTGGGTGCAGTTTTGGCACAGGAAGCGGCGGCAATCGGCGCAGAAAGCCTTGGCAAAGTCGCCGCTTTTGCAGCCGGTGCACACGTGGGTGGTGGCATTGACCTGAAAGTTGAGATACGGTTAGTTTGGGTAATGATAAGTACAATTTATGATCATAAAGTACTGAATAGTACCACGTATGATCATTAAGTACTAAATAGTGCGATATTTGATCAAAAAGTACTAATAGTAGCACGTATGATCATAAAGTACTGACTAGTACCATTTTTGACAATAACGTGCTAAATAGTACTATATGGTAGTAACGTACTTAGTAGTACCCTCTCTGGTCATAACGTACTAAATAGCATCATGTATAGTCATAAAGTACTACATAGTACCATGTATGATCCAAGCGTACTCAATAGTACTTTATAAACAAATAGTACTTAATAGTACCATAAATGATTGTAAAGTAGTAAATAGTACCCTGTATTACCAGAAAGTACTAAATAGTACTATATGGTCGTAAAGTATTTAATAGTACCATCTGTGATCATAAGGTACAAAATAGTATCAAGTATGACCATGAAGTAATTAATAGTACCATGGATGCTCATACAGTACTTAATAGTAATAATCCCCCCCCCCTCTCCCCAAAAAAATCCCTTACCAAGTCCTCGCCATCGCTGCCAGGCGACGAGCTCAACGACCCAGCCCTCGGCTGGCCCTTGCCCTCCTCCATGATGCTCTGGTTAACGGCATTCTGCAACCCGTAGTCACTCAACAGCCCGTCAATACCCAGATTCGGGCTCAACTGTGTCTCCTGATGACATTGCGGACAAACGATGCTGCGTTCGTTGCTCTGCTCCCGCTGTTCCAGGCAGTCCTTGCAGAACGAGTGGAAGCAGGCCAGGACGCGAGGGTCGCGAAAGTGTTCTTGACAAATCGAGCACTTGGTCACTGGAAAGGATTCCTGTGGAGCGCCTAAAATTTGAAGTTTTAAATTTAAAAAGTTACAGTAAGATAAAGAAGACCATAGTAGAACTTAAGAGGGCTTTGATCACGGCTAGACCTAAGGCACGGGCAACAAATAGAGCCTAGGGTACGGTAGGGCCTAGGGTACGGTAGGGCCTAGGGTACGGTAGGGCCTAGGGTACGGTAGGGCCTAGGGTACGGTAGGGCCTAGGGTACGGTAGGGCCTAGGGTACGGTAGGGCCTAGGGTACGGTAGGGCCTAGGGTACGGTAGGGCCTAGGGTACGGTAGGGCCTAGGGTACGGTAGGGCCTAGGGTACGGTAGGGCCTAGGGTACGGTAGGGCCTAGGGTACGGTAGGGCCTAGGGTACGGTAGGGCCTAGGGTACGGTAGGGCCTAGGGTACGGTAGGGCCTAGGGTACGGTAGGGCCTAGGGTACGGTAGGGCCTAGGGTGCGGTAGGGCCTAGGGTACGGTAGGGCCTAGGGTACGGTAGGGCCTAGGGTACGGTAGGGCCTAGGGTACGGTAGGGCCTAGGGTACGGTAGGGCCTAGGGTACGGTAGGGCCTAGGGTACGGTAGGGCCTAGGGTACGGTGGGATGTAGAATACCTAAAAATCGAACAAAAATCCAAAACCTTACCCAAAACTGGATGGTACAACGAGTTCAACAAGCTTTGTTGTAGGCTCTGCGCCTGGACGTTGTTCTGTTCCAACGGCGCCCACGTGTTCAACCGCGACACATTCGGCAGCACGTTGGCGGTGGGCGCGCTGAGGCTGAGGAAGTGATCGGGCGACGCCAAATCCTCACCCAGCCCCATCAACGGCGGTGTTGGTGCCAGGCCGCCGATTCCTTGTTGATGAGCACGACCGCCAGCGGCAGAGCTCAGCATACCTGGAATTTTGAAAATTTTAATTTTTTGATAAATTTCGAAAATTTTTAAATAAAATTTGAAAAACTGAATTAATAAGTTTAAATTGTATTCAAATAGCTACCTAAGTACCAAAAATGAGCAAGATCTATAAGCTTTCTCAAGAGTTCTGTTAAAAAATCCGAGGTCATGGTTAAATCAAGTATAACATAATTTTTTCAAAAAATCACAAAATTTCAAAACATTTTAAAAAAGCGGTTGAACAATGTCAAAGTGTATTCAAATAGCTACCTAAATACCAAAAATAAGTAAGATTTATAAGCTTTTCCAAGAGTTATAACAAAAAATCTAAGGTCATGGTTAATATCAAGTAGAACATCATCTTTCTCAAAAAATTTTGAAAAATGTAAAAAACTAAAATGACAAGAATAAAAAACATTAAAATATCTACCTTATTCTAACAAACGATCCAAATCCATCAAACACTACATTAGTTATGACCAAAAGACCAAAGTCACCTCTAATATCAAGTATAACATATTCTTTCGAAAACCTCAAAATTTTTCAAAGAACAGTATTTATCAAAAACTACAGTAGCCCTCATACTAAAACCCATCAAAAAAGTTACAAATCAGCAAAAATTATTGTTTACGCCAAACTGCCTTTATTAATCTTTACCCTTCATAAAAACGCGAGACTTTTCAAAAAACAATTTTCCGAAAAGCAAAGGTCAAAATGCAACTCTAGTGACAAACAAGTGGCTCTAAAAACTTTGAAAAACTTTTTTTTTATATTTTTGAAACCGTATTGTATCTTTTAATATTAATTTATGTTGGTTTTGGGTTCAAAAAAGTCCGATAAAACGAGTTTGCTCTAGTCGGAATCGAACCAACATGCTTTGGACTATAAGGCAAAAAGTTTACCCACTATACTATAAAAACACGTTTTTTCAAATTTTACATTATTGTAGAAAAAAGGTAAAAAGCTATATAAAATACGATATTAACCATTTATAAACATTAATCTAACCCCACAAAACCTTTCAAAACCCATAAACTAAAAAAAATTTTCAAAATTTTTTGCAAAATTGGAAATTTCCGCCAACGTCACGAGTTTCTTCCCCTCCGGCTAAATTTAGCAAAAAAAACAAAACTGCATGATAAATTTGTCAAACTGATAAAAATACTGCTGACCATGGAATTTGTTTGTGCTTAGCAAAAAATGGCTCTTGGTTTCGGCGAAAAAAAGTTGTGCTTTTGACTTGGCAGTCGTTTTTTTATTATCGACTCTTTGTAAAAGGAAATTTATGACATTTTAAAAGTGATATTGGAATTTGTCAGCCAATTGGGAGTTAAAAATAACTTAAATCTCCCAGGAAAGTTGAAAAAAATGGCATGAAAAGACGAAAAATCCCTCAAAAACAGCCCAAAAATCAAAGAAAATTTTAAAAACCTCGATAAAAGACGTCATAATGACATAATTTTTCAAAATTATTTTGTAGCTAAATAATCCTTGTGATAGTGGCTATCAACTTACCAGCCTGATCTCTGGCAATATTGGCTAAAAGCGACGAAATGGGATCCTGCTTGGAGCCTGCGGCACTCGTCCCCAATGGGTCCGAATCGTTTTCTTCTGCAATTTTATATGTTAACCATGACGTATTGTGATGATTTTGGGTACATAGTACGATTAGATACCTTTCTATGTTATGTTAAAATTTTGTTCAATTTTGTTACAGTATACCCAAGTTATGAATTGTTTTTTACAATAAGTTCGATTTTCATTTCTTTTGTAAGTTGGCTTTGAATAAATGCATTTTTTAGCCGTATTTTACAATTTAAAAAAAACTTTTTGTACCTAAAAGACAGGAAAAACATTGTTCTTTCAATACCAACCACAAAAAACCAATTTACAACCCATAACCACTTTATTTCTTCGATTATATTAACGTTCCCATTAAAGTCGGAATGACAGTGTAATGCAAAAACTTTTTTTCCGGTCTGCAAACAAATTCGAAATCGCTTCATCACTTTAAGATCGGGCCACAAAATTGAATAGAGTGTCCCAAGGCCAAAAGTTCAAAGTTTTTTGCGAAAATCGAAGCGGGGAGAGATGAAAAAACGGCTGCGCAAAAAATGACTTTCGATTCCGCGACGGTCTTCTGGGAGGGCTTTAATATGGAAATGATTTATGACCTTTTCAATGATTTTTAAAGTCGAAATTTGGTTTTTAAGGTTTAAATTTGATTTTTAAAGTTGAAGTTTGATTTTAAAAGGCACAATTTAACTTTAGAAGACATTTTATACGATTAAACGTGTTTTTAGGAGGTGGTTATGTTTCATCGTATAAGATGTCAATAAAATTGCAAAAATAAAAAAAATTAGTAAATTAGCAATTTTATGATCATTTATATTGCATTTAACAGCTTTTCAAATTTTTACAAGTTTTTGAAGACAATTTATAAGATGAAACGTGTTTTTTGGAGTAGACATGTTCCATCGTATAACATGTCACTAAATCTACAAAAATAAGAAAAAATGTAGCAAATTAACAATCTTAAGAAAATTTAGATTGCATTTAGCAGCTTTTAAAATTTTTTCAATTTTTAGAAGACATGTTATACGAAGAAACGTGTTTTTATGACGGTGGGCATGTTTCATCGTATAAAATGTCTGCAAATTGAAAAATATGTAAATTTACACATAATTTGGTTTTTCTAGCTCATTTCTCATTTTTAAAACATTTTTTTCTCTACAGCGACATTTTATACAATGAAGCGTGTTTTTAAGGGTGAGCATGTTTCATCGTATAACATGTCACTAAGTTTGCAAAAATAGAAAAAATAAGATAAATTATCACTTTTATGATTCCTTAGATTGCATTTAATAAATTTTCAAATTTTTCCTATTTTTAGTAGACATTTTATACGATGAAACCTGTTTCCCCCACAAATACGTTTCATCGTATAAAATGTCACTCAAAAGTTGCGACATGATTGTTTACCGGATCTGGTACGTCTGTTTAAATAAAAAAAGAGTGGTGGATTGATTTCGAATAAACTGTTTTTGTTTACTGCCCCGAGGCGAAGAAAAGATTTCCGACAATTGTTCGTCTAGTACGAAAATAGCCAACATGGACAACAAAAAATAATCTGACACTTTTGAGAATACACTAATCATCTTATTCTTGCCTTTTTGTGTCTATTTCGATCTAATGTTAAAAAAGAATGGCATTAAACATAAACTAAATAACATAAAACGGCCGTTCTATACGATGACAAGGTTAATATCAAGGATAATATCGTCCTAGAGAACCTAAATCAAAATTTATGACAAAACTCATAAACCATCGTCAAAATACCACATTATGACCAAAAACAATGTAAAACTTGTATTGTAAGCCGCGGAGACCGTGGAGCCCAATTAGTATTGTTTACCACAGTGTAAGCCTGTTTACCGTAGTAGCAGACATTGTTTATGTGCCTCTACATTACAGTCAATACTATCATTTTGTTGTTTGTTTTTACTTTTTTTGCAATTTTTGGTCATTAAATTTGCATTTTGAAAAGCTACAGCTCTTTATATTATCCATGGCAGCAAAGATGGTAGTGTCAGTTTGAATTGCCATTTTATATTAAAGTAGTTGATGGATCTGCATGAAATTTTGAGAGAATGTAGAAAAATGTCTGCGTTGTCATATTATACAAAAATTGTTTATATCTCATAAGTTTTGTTACAATGGCCAAAAAACCAGAGTCAAATCCGAAAAAAAATTCAAAATTTTCAAATTTCAAAAAAAAATTTTTAAACTCTAAAATCTAGGCCAAACGCGTATTTTAGTCTAGCAAAAGAGCCAAGACTTAAACCCTAAACTAGTTATCAGCATGACCAATAAAAAGACAAGACTGTAAACTAGCCTAATTTAATCAAAAGTGGGCTTATTTGATTAGCTGTCTGATCTTGTTGATGTAACACTATTTGTGTCTGCACTTCTACCGTTAAGTTTCTAGGCTTGGGCTTCTAGGCTAAGCCTTAAGCTCAGGCTTCCAGGCTTAGGCTTAGATTTAAGCTTAGGCTTAAGCTTAGGCTTGGGCTTAGAGTTAGGCTTAGGCTTAGGATTAGGCTTAGGCTCTTAGGTTTAGGCTTAGGTTTAGGCTTAGGTTTAGGCTTTAGGGCTTGAGCTTTTAGGCTTAGGCTTTTAAGTTTAGGCTTAGGCTTAAACACAAATTTAGACTCAGGCTTATGCTTCACCTTACAGCCCTGCAACCCTACAAACTTGCTACCCTACCCCACCACTTTTTTGCCTTAGCTTAGCCCTAATCTAACCTTACTCTACAGAACCGTTCAGCACACTTACCCCGCAAGACCTTACAGCAGTCTTACTCCATAAAACTACAAACCTTTACAATACTCTTACCCTACCAAATCTTACAGTACTATTATCCTTCAAATACTACAGTATTTTGTTCTTCAAGCCCCCCCCCCCTTTTATCTTCCTAAATTTTCAATTTTGCCCATGTTGCAGTTTCAGTTCGGTCTATCCCAAAGGCCTATCTCCTATCTGCACACAATCTCCCCCCTCTCCCACTTTTTGTCTCTTCACCCCAATGTCGGACCACCAACGTTGAAAAAACAAGAGGTAAACAGTGGGCCCCGCGTTCCCCATAATCACTTGTGTTTTTTCGGGAACTCAAACAATGCAAAACCATTTTCTGCTGACAACCGCAAGTTATTACCGCAAATTGTTTACGGGGGCTTAGGGAATGTAAACTTTGCTGTTTGATGGTACTGTAACATCTTTGAGTAGGGTTTGGAAGCAAATAAAAAAAATTTCAAAAAAAATTTTGAAAATTTTAACTTGGTCCCTGTAAACTAAAAAAAAATTTTTTTTGAAAAATTTTCTTACTGTACCACGTAAAAATACAGTATGCCTTCATGCACAATAATTTTCATTTTTAACCTGAAATTTAAATTTTAAGCCTTAACTCCTTACCTTAGGCTTAAGATTTTTTGCCTCAAACATTTTTTTAAATTAAGCCTAAAGTTTTGAGTTTAAGCCTAGAGCTTTTAACTTAAGCCTAACATTTTTGACCCAAGCTTAACGTTTTTTTACTTTAAGCCTAAAGGTTTTATCTTAAGCCTAAAATTTCCATTTTAAGTTAAAATTTTAAGCCTACAGCTTCTAGCTTAAGCCTAAAAGTTTAATTTTAAGCCCAGAGCCTTCATTTTAAGCCTAAAACTTCCACTCTAATCACAAGCTCCCCCACCTAACCTCAAAATCCTAAACATAACCCCAAAGCCTTCAAACACACATCTAAAATTGTCACAATGTACACAAACCTCGTGCATGTACACAAAGATGAGATATCAGGCTTTTCCCTCTCGTTTTATCCCTCTGATAAGAAGGGACAATTTCACGATGACAAACACATTTCGAGAGCAAGCGAAACGTACGATTACGTTCGTATCTCGTTTGACGTGATATCACAAACCAAATTAAAGCTGAATTCACGGTTTTCAACGAGTTTTTGGAGGAAATAATGATTTTTTTTAGATTTTGAGAAGAAGAGTGGTCTTGGAAAAAATCATTTTTAGGCTTAAAGGTAAAAGTCAAAATGGTCAAAATGGCACTTTTTGGAATCCACAGGGTCTTCTGAATTTGACAATATAAAATATTAGTTTTGAAAGTTTCAAAAATTTGCATAATCGACCATTTTTTTGACCCATCTCAAAAAATCTCAAAATTTTTAGGTTCGAATCAAAATAAAATGCCATTTTTAAGCAGACCTGCCTATCTGCATACCTAAATTTATACTTTTTAGAACGTTTAATCTCTGCTGAGTTCAAAAACAATAATTGCAAAATATAAAAACTTCAAAAATTTGCATAATCGACCATTTTTACTGACCCATCTCAAAAAATCTTTAAATTTTGGGTTGAAAGCCAAATTAAATGCCATTTTTAAGTAGAACTGCTTATCTACATACCGAAATGTATACTTTATGAATAGCGTAGTATCCCCTGAGTTCAACAAAGATAATTGCAAAATTTAAAAACTCCAAAAATATGCATAAACATCCCTTTTACTTCACCAACCCCCCCCTCCCTTCTTTTCCCCCAAAAATCTCTGTTTCTAGCCAAAATTTGATCCCTCATGAACCAAAATCAACAAATACAGACAGTCTATGTAAAATCCGGCTAATCAAACATAATTCGTTTGACCATCAAACAAATTAGTCAATTAGATCATCCCTCTGTTCTGGGCCGCCTTGTGAAAAGTGCAACTAATTAAGCGGGAAATGGCATTAATTAACTCATTTTTAAAGGGTTTTCCGGACAAATAAACAGCCAAATTTGTGTCACTCTGTACTTTTGGCATTCCTAAGATACTACTATGTAATATGGAGTATAGTACTTGTACGTATTTGGGTCACACTGTAAGGTTCTTGAGCAAGAAGGCTAAGACTTGACAAAAAATTTAAGAAAAATTGAGAAAAAACTGCCATAACTTTTTGTACCGAATTCTAAACTGCCTAAAAATACATTTTCTAAAATCCCCGGTATCATACCCAAATATACTGTAACAAAATCAACCAATATTTCCCCCTAAAATCGACCAAAACTCGACCAGAACTCACCAAAGTTCCATAACAAAGATGATGTGGGGTCCATAATCAAGTGGGTTCGTTACTTAAAACGGGTGGTTTTAACGGTTATAACTTCTCTACACAATCAACAATCAACAACGTCAACAACTGAAAAGTTGTAGCTGATTACTCTGATTAATTACACTTTTTTTTGGAAATCGCGATGGAGCGTGGGAAATCGAAAAAACTTGGGAGAAGGGGGGAAATCGGTCGAAAAACAAGCAAACTCGACCAAAAAATATAAAAATAATGAAAATTAGTACTAGTATTACTACTACAGTACCAAAAAGGTTACTGTGACGCAAAAAAAATTTTGAAAATTTAAAATTTTTCGATATTTCAAAAAATTTTAAAATAAAAAAAAATTGAAAAAACATAAAAACTGAAAAAATAGTACTTGTACTAGTACTATAATGCCCCTAAGACTACTGTAACATTAAAAAAAATCTAAAAACACCCAAAAAATCCAAAAAATTTTTAAAAAATCAAAATTTAAAAAACCCAAAATTTTTAAAAATCCAAAACCTATGCCCCTCAAAAACTTTTACAACTACAACTACAGTAACCGATGTTACGGTGAGTGTTCTAGAACCGTCCATTTCCGACCTAAAAACTTTGTCTTTTCTCTCTTTTTCGCTTTTCGAAAACATTACGAAAAAGTGGAGAATTTAGGTCAAAAAGAAATGGATTTTTCAGGGATTTTTACAATACCTGGTGGTAAAACGATGGCGCAAAGCGATGCCGACCCACAACAAGGCTATAAAAAGTTTTGTCCAGGAAAAATCGACTTGCTATTGGGCGGGTAAACTTGAGAAACATTGAGAAAAAGAGGTAAAACAGTGAAAACAAGCAAGATATTAAGGGTTACGGCCAAATAAAACAATATATGAAATTTCTCGTTGGACCAAACTAAAAGATGTCATAATCAAAATTGAAGACAAAACTCTGAGGCACATTTTAAGCCCAAAAACAAAGCCGGTTTCTATAGAAAACATTCGAAAAAATGTCAAAACAACAGAAAATAGGGCACATTTTCGGCTTCGTTTGCCATTTTCAACCCCATACTCCAATTTAAACCCTTCAAAACCCCAAAAATACCCCACCCCACAACAAAATACAAAACCAGCTTTGGAAGGCGCGGACAATTCGACAAGTCGCGCCCGGATCCGCGACGATTTTTACAATTTTCACAGCTCTATCTAATGGATTTTTGTGCGAAAAGCTGCGAATTTTTTCTGGGGTGGGTGGGGGAAGGCGGGGGGCAAAATACCGTGCCTAAGAGTGCATACGCTCCCGCCACCACCCCAATAAGACGGGGAATCGCGGGGCGAGGGGGAGGAGGCTTCGTGGAGGGTTGGGGGAGAGAGGAAGGGCTGGGGAGAGTGGGGGGGGCTTCGTGGATTACTCGGGAAAGAAGAGACGGTGAAAGAGGGGTGGGTCGGGCTAGAAAAGAAGGCATAACAAAGAGGAGGGAAAGATAGAAAAGACGGTGAAAGTAAAAATAAGTAAAGAAAAGACTAAAGAGTCATAGAGTAGGGTATGGCAATATTCAAAGTTTGACAAGGGCATAAATTAAAAAAGAGAAAAAACTCCAAAAGAGTAGTGAATTTCAAGCCTCAGTACAAGATACCTTGCCAAGCTAAGCCCAACACAAAAAAATGCTAGCCAATCCCAAAAAAAATGAAAAATCCTCCCCAAAGCCCAAAGAAAAACACCAAAAAGAGACCGAACAAACCGAAGAGACGGCAGAAACAACCAAAGTGCGCCCTCACTTCCTCTCCAACTTTGGGTCTTTTTGAGAGTGCGGACCTTAACCCCAGCGAAGATCCAGCTGCCTTGCCGGTTCCAACATTCATGCTCAGCTTTTAGGCCACTTTAGAGAGCGTGCCAACGCATGAGGATGAAAGACGGTTGAGAAAAAGACTAAAGAAGACGTGGAGAGTGGTTAAAGAAAAAAGGAAATAGTATTTGAAATGGATAAACTAGAGTTTAAAGGCTTGAAATTGAAAATAACACGTGAAAATGTAAAGGATAAAAGATTGAGAGTACAAAGAAAAAAGATCGTATGATGTAAAGAGACCAAAGACGGTCAGAGAAAGTCAAAAAGATCATGAAAAATGAAGAGAACACAAAGAAAAACGCATTTTCATAAAAGTCCAATTCGAAAAGAGTAATAAAAAACATTTGTGAATTTGATAAAAATTTGAAAAAAGAACACGTGAAGCCCGAAGGCATTTAAAGACGAAATTTAAAGCATAAAGTCCGGAGGATGGAGAAAGAATGCCCTAATTTATACTATAATATGGTTTGCTATTAGGTGTTCAAATAATTATGTGCCCCTTCTTAAAGCAAATTTTGAAGTTTAGGGGCACACAAATATTTGAACAATCTAATATTAGGTGGCTCAAAATTATCTGGACAATTTAATATTGAAGGCACAGAATTAATTGAAGAATCTTATATTAGCGGGCTCAGAATTATTTGAACAATCTAACAAATCTATCTGCCTTGCCGGTTCCACGTTTCTAGAGTGTAGGATGCAAAAATAGCAAAAAAGTCATTTAAAATATTTTTTCAAAAAATCTTTAATAACAATTTTAAAGTACATTAAATTCTACATAAAATGCCAAAACATAATTTCCAAATCTTACTGTAACAAAAATTTATGACGTTTTAAAATCAAAAATAGGCCTGAAATTAACAAAAATTCAAAAAAAATTTCAAATTTTCAAAAATTCATATTCCAAAAACGGTCAATCGAAATTTTCTAAAATTTTAACACAAAGCACACACAGCTCTTGGTAATCACAGTTTAAAATTTCAAAGCGATATCACATCGAAACGGTAACAAAACTTGAAGTAAAGTGCAGTCCATACCAATAAGCGCATAATTTCGGGTGAAATTGATGCTAATCCCTTTTGTAAAAACAAAAAATGAAAAAGTTTGTAAATTAAAAAATATAATGTAATGTAAAATACGAATAATTCTTGTTTAAGAATCAGTATATTTGAGATACATTCACTTTGCTAGCCAAAAAAAATGTTATTTTAGAAAATTTGACAAAAAAATCAGCTTGGACCCCCTGTTGAACTTTTTGTCAACCTTAAAAAAAAATTTTGTTCAAAAACAAAAATTATTTTTTTAAAGAATGTAAAATACGACGCTTAGCCGTGTGATAACATTAAATATCGGGCGTGGTAAATTCTTCACAATAAAATCCTTAAAACTTTCAAAAACAGCCCAATTTCCCCCCGAAAACCCCTTAAAACCGCAATTTCTCGCCCAAAACTCTGTGAAAAATGCGAGAAATATGCAAATTTTATGCCCAATTTTCATGCGACCGGAATATGGAATATATTATGCGCCCAAGACGAGGAGATGATTCTTTGAACTCGAGGAGGTTGCGCCATAAAAAATATTTTTTGGCGCGCTCATTTCAAGGAAATCAGCCGCATCGTCAGCGCCGCCTTAATGAGCATGATTTGGCAGACTGCCCGCTAGCGACGGAGACGGGCGGATTTAAGGGGGGTGAGGAGAAAGGATGAAGGAGGGGGGTGGAAGTATAGGAAGAAGGGAAGGAGATAAGCTGGTTGCGTGTATGGGTTAAATATGAGCATTAACCGAGGTGGGGGGGGGTAGAACATGGTAGTAGAAGGGGATAGGTAGGGTAGGGTATGAAGGTAGAAAGGAATAAGGTAGGGTATGGTAGTGGAAAAGAGAGGGTAGGGTAGAGCAGAAGAAATGGGTAAGGTAAGGCTTGGTAGTGGTGGTAGGATAGGGTATGACAGAAAAAGGAAGAGGATAGGGTGTGGTAGTAGAAAGAGGAGGGTAGAATAGGGTAGAACATGGTAGCTAAAGCCTCTATTTTCACCTTATATACCTTTGTCCTACCCTGTCAACCCTCTACTTCACCCCCCCCTTACCCTACCCTACTCTGCCTTCTATCCACCCTATCTAACCCTACCCTACTTAACTTCCCCACCATACCCTACTCTTACTTACCCTACCCTACCATTTGTTTTTTTATCTGCTCCCCCCTAGGTCCTTCCTACCCTACCCCAACTTCCCTACTCAACCCTACTTCTCCCTACCCCACCTATCGCCCTCTACTCTACCTATCGCCCTTCTACCGTAGACCCTGAAAAGTGCAAATCGGCTTGGGAATTTTACCTAACCTTTAGGTGTCTCGAGCGGGGCTACTCGCCTTATTCAAAAGTGGAGAGTATTCGAAAAAGCGGATGAAACTCAAGTATTCGAAATCAAAAGACGATTCTTTGAACTTTGGGATCGGGTGAAGACCGTAGGGGATTTGGTAGAGGTGAGAGGGTAGAGGTTCCGAAAAGGGAGAAAGGGGTAGGGTAGGGAAGTTGAAGGGGGGGGAGGAGAAGAATTTTATTATCAAAAAAAGGAAGAAGGAAAAAGGTAGAAAAAGGTTGGGGGGGGCGAAAAAAAGTAAAAAAAAAACAAAATTTTTTTCAAAATCCACCCTCAAAAAAAATTTTTACCATGCTCATAAAAAATGCTCAATTAAGCTTAAAATTATCAAAAAATACAAAAAAATATATATTTTTCAAAATCCATCCCAAAAATCAAAAAAAAATTTTTACCACGCCCAACTAAAAAATTGTCGTCTTATCTAAAAATCTATTTTAATTTGACCAGTTTAATTATTTGATATTAAAAATGACCTTGAATTCTACTATTTGAGTCCATCTCCCATCCCCTGCCCTTCCTCTGTCCCCACTCTACTCTATTCACCCCTCCCCATCCCTTCCCATTCAACCCTTCTCCTAAATACCCTGCGGTCTTTCCCAATCCTATCAAAACAAAAAATTCCTAAAAAAAACCAATTTTCCTGCCCATGCCACCGCGGAATGACCACAAATGTAACAGCCCGGGAAAGTGTTCACCATGATGCGCCTTATCTACAGCTCAATCGTTCAAAAGATCGCGAATCATATCAAAATTGTGTCATTTATTTTTGATTCCTAAATAAACAACCAGAACAAAGTACCTTCTGCCAT